AGCAGCAGCAGCAGGAGCAGCAGCACCACCACCGCCGACAGCACCACCGCAACCGCCGCCGCCGCCACCACCACCACCACCCCCACCACCACCACCACCACCACCACCACCACCACCACCACCACCTCCACTGCTGCAACCGCTGGTTCACCCACGACTGCGACTACAACTTGACACCTCGACGGGGACTACGACTACGGGGAATACACCCCGTAAACGCCGTAAACAGCAGCAGTACAAGAGTTGTGCCTGAAGGCTGTGCCGGCGCTTGTTGTAGAAGTCTTTGAAGCCACTAAAATCCAATCGGGATTCGACTGCATCCACCTGCATTGGCTCGCGGCGAGGGGTCCAGGGTTGAACCGGTGTCTGTCAAGCAAGCTCTGAGTTTGTTTCTGCTGCACAAACTCTCACAAGATCATCCCCACCCTGAACCCTAAACCGTGAAAAGCCGATCTTTTTGGGCTTGGGCTTCGGATTTCGGGCTGCTTGGGGCTAAGGACTTGGCGCTTCCGAAGGAGGGGTTCTCGTTTCAGAGGGCAAAGAAAGGTTTCCTGCAATCGGGAATCCAGGATTAATCGTAAACCCTAAACCCCAAGCCCTAAACCCTAAACCCCGAGCCCTGCAAAGAAGAGATGCACGCACTCGTCCACTGAAGCTCAGCTGGGCCTTACATTCTGTAACTGTAAGCTTATACGCTAACCCTACTTTCGACCCCAAACCCCTGAATCCCAAAAGCCCCAAGCCCTGAACCCCTGAGCCCGACACTCCCTACGCGGCCCTAAACCCGACACACACGACAACCCGGAGACAGGCAGCACGGCCTTCCAGATCACAGCTCCGGGGTTCAGGGATTAGGGTTAAGGGTTTAGGGGGGTTCAGGGTTTAGGGTCCAGGTGCTTTTGTTCAAGGTGTGTCGGCCTTTCTCTCTGCCCGCCTTGTCAAGGCTTACACCAGACGGTGTGCAAGGTATCTTCCCGAGCAAGACTACATCGCAGAGCACTGGCGCAAGAACAGCAGGATGTAGAAGAATTTGCACATACCCGTCGGCCGTTTCTCCGAATAGATGACGAAGGATGATAGACATGGAATACATTACGAGCAAAGGAATTCGGAAGGACTAAGTTCGCTATGGAACCAGTGCGGCGAAATGCTTCAACACACGCAAACATGTTTCTGCACCCTGACTCCCCGAAATCTAATCAAGCCGTCCCGGCCAGCCTCATCCGGATCTTCCAACTGCAAGCTGGCTATGCCCTCTGCCTTCTCCTGTTCGGTATTCTACTGCATACGTCCCTCTCTCGAGTGGTCTGGGACTGCCGAGATAGTACAGCAAAATCACAAAAGCGTGATGCGTTGACATGTGTCATGAGAAGAAGCGGGCCGTGTTCATAGACCGTTATATAGACATACGAAAAACAGTTGTACCAACCCTCCAGCCCTCCGTCCGTGCATACACATATGCGTGCCTGCTTACTAACCTACTTGCTTCCTTATGTGAGTACATATTTACTTAATCTTACTTACATCATACATCGGTACATTGGCATTGGAGTTGAGGACAGTTCAGGCGAACAGCTGCCACCACAATTATTTGCCATGGCCCTGCTACTTGACTTCCTGGGTCCTGCTGTCGATCATGGCAGCTATCATGGCACACATCCATGGCAGTAGTAGTTACAGTAACAGACACACAAACAAACAATGATACTGATGACAGCAGTGCCGGGGGAGAGACTGATCATCATGCAAATAAGACAATAAGAACGATAGAGATACAATAATCTCAGCACCACCACCACCACTACGACGACGACGACGACTAGTAGTACTATTGGTATTAGTACAATGCGCCGGGAATTTAGAACAATTATTTGAGCAAGATTGCCGAGCAATCTTGCAATCCTGGTCTCGCCGACTAGTTTACCTTTTAGACTAAGATTGCAAGGGGGGACGAGCAAGATTGCCAAGCAACCTTGCAATTTTGGTCTCCAAAAGGTAAACTAGTCGGCGAGCAAGCGGGGCAAGGGGGGAGAGCAAGATTGCCAGCAATCTGGCAATTTGGGTCATGGTCTCCAAAAGGTAAACTAGTCGGCGAGCAAGTGGGGCAAGTCGGGCAAGATGACCAAGATTGCCGAAATTGCTTCCCCCGCCCCGGCTGACCAAGATGGCCAAGATTACTAAGATGGTTCCGTCGATTAATTGTTCTACATTCCCGGCACCATGTACTAGTACTAGTACTAGTACTACCTCGTACTGGTATTGGTACGAGTACCAGTACTCCGCAGCTGCTACTACTAATACTAGTACCACGACGACAACGACCCTCTTAAACTACTACCACTACCGCCACCACCACTACCATTACCAGGGCGAAGTGCCAGGCAGACTGCGATGATGCCTGCCGATACGACGATCGTATGCTACGAAGGGCCCAAGACCACAACGAACTTCTTGCCTAAAAACTAAGGAGCCAACATGGAAAGTAAATTTTGATCAAACCCTGAGCACCGTCTGCCCACAGGCCCACACCCCCAAACGAACAGGTCTTCAAGTGTAGAGCCTTCTTGTTGGCCAGGTCCTGCGCCGCAGGCACCTTTGCCGGCCGAAGGCTCGACATCTTCAGGTCGAAGGCTTTCAGCGGCTCAGAAGTTCCATTTCTCTTGTTCAGGGTTCGGCTTTTAGGGTTCAGAGGTTTGGGTCTTCGGCCACCCTGGGTTTCATCCCGCATGGCATAACGAGCTCATCAGGTCTCTGAATGGCTGCTGGGGTAGAGCTCCGAGCCTTCTTTCTGGCATTCGTAGCTTTGTGGGGCGCCCCGCTCGTAGGGGTATACGACAGGGTTGGGCGTGCCGGGTGCTTTGGCAATTGTCTTTAAACCCAAGTTGAAGTGTTTTACGACGGTTCTTTTCGCTGTGTTTTGCCACCATGATCTTGCACTCCAGCCGGTGCCCAACCCGAGCCGAAGCAACGGAATTAGACGATGCTCTGCCGTGCAAGTAGAGCTCTATGCCATGAAAGGCGAAGCCTTCCATCGTAGCCTTAAAATCCTTAATATGCTATGAAGCATAGTATTCTACAAGCTCTTGATATCATAGAACCGAATGGATTGAAAGACATTATAGTCTGATTTAACATAGTGTCATAGAAACAGGCAATCTAATAGAACATGAAACAAGTATCAACTATTTCATGCAACAAAATCTACAATGAGTTGACCCGACCTTTCCTAATCCGTCCCAACCCTGGCCTGCAGTGGAAAAGTGCACAACCGAAGACCCTAAACCACAAATCCCTGAACCTTAGACCATCCCAAACCCTAAACTACCCTGAACACTCTATACCATCCACCCCTTTAGCCCTAAACCCCAAAACGACAAACGAAGAACCCCCCCAACTCTTAACTACCCTGAAACACCTACCATCAAATCCCTAAGCCCTTTTCCCCAAAACCATTAACCGAGAACCCCGCTTAACCCTAAACCCCGGAAGCCCTAAACTCAGAGCCCTGAACTTGAACTTTTGCTTTAGAGAGGCTCCTTTATTCAAACAAGGTGTTTATGGAACAAACGTGAACCCAGAAGACTTTTTTCTGCTAAAACAATGTGTTCATACAAAAACTTGAACCCAGAAGGGCCCTAAACCCTAAACCCTATAGACCCTGAATCCGAAGCCCTAAACCCTAAACCCTATAGAATCTGAACCCGAAACCCTAAACCCCAGAGACCCTGAACCCCGGAGAGGAGGGATTTTGTCAGACCCGGCCTCGTCGCCGTCGCTGCTGGGAGGCGGTCCTGGGAGCTTGGGCCGTGAGGCTTTGCCTGGGTTTAGGGGTTTGGGGTGGCTCAGGGTGGTTTAGGGTTCAAGGGTTTAGGGCGGTTTAGGGTTTAGGATGGTTTAGGGTTTCGGGGTTTGGGGTTGGTGGGGCTTCGGGTTTAGGGGTTTAGGGAAGCAAAGGGGTCTAACATGCCTTGCCTCGCCGGAAATCCGGAACCTTCTGAAAGCTCCGATTTTCGAAACGATTAACCCTAAATCCCCCAACCCTAAACTCGAAACCCGAAAACCCTGAAACAGAAAAGCTGAACCCCAAAGAGGCTTCCGAGATCCCACAAACCAGGCGGAGATGCTTCCAAGGCATTAGGGTTGAGGGTTTCGGCGGCCTCCAGAACCCAGGATGAAGAACAAACTAGAGAATATAGGGGCCTTAATAGTTAGAATAGGGTTCTGGGGTATATTATACTATAATTAAAATTTAAGGAACCCCCAAAATAGCATAGGTAATTATGTGGGCCCCTGTATTAAACCTCCTACCTTAAACGAGAATATAAGAGGGATCCAAATGTTGAGGCCCTTACAGAGAGAGGGGTTATTCAGGGTCTACAAGCTTGTTCGTGGCACCTGTACCGCTAAGCTTGGCCATGCCGGTAACCCCATATTGTACTGCGCCATATGCTGTAGTATATTGTACCAGCTTCTATCATATACTACACTATACTAGACAATACTATACTATACAATCCTAGTACTATACTATACATAGTATACTAGACCACAGTGAGTTTAATGGCTACTATGCCAACATGCATCGTCGACGTCAAACTACGGGCCAGAAGCGGTAGCATTACCCGGGATATCCGCAATGCATATAGCCATAGCGGGGGTAACCCGTAATGACGATGACAAACAAGATACTAACATCAAAGGCACGATAGAGATAGCAGTCATATTCATAGCAGGCAAGAAACGACAACATCTAAGTCGATCACAGCGACACTAGTCACTAAACCTACAGCTGATCGTAAGCATACGAGCCCGCATCATGGTCACCATGGCACTTGCCTGCGCTACATCATCTTGATCTAGTTGAGTTGCCAGGCCCACCAACAAGTCAGCCCTGTGACTTGAAACCGAAACCCTACATACCCCTATAGAGCCAAATAAGACCCTATAGTCCTTCCGGTCGCCCCGGCTTGCCACGAGCATCCTCGGCTTCTTCAACTCTTGGGGACCGTCTATCTCTGGTGTTTTGGGATTTGTTCCGAGGTGTTGGGGTGCAACTCCAGCCTAAACCCAGAGGGTCTAGTGTGACCTCTCAGCCGAAAGCTGGGAGCACCCCTAAACCCTAAACCTCTGAACCCCTAAAGCCCTAAACTCTAACACCGACTCTAAACCCTCGACCCCTAAAGCCCTAAAGCCCTAAAGCCCTAAACTCTAATACCGACTCTAAACCTTGCCAGACCCAAAACCCAAACGGCTTGGAGCCAGCTCCAAGCCCTGAAGGAGGGTTCAGGAACTGCCAGACTGGTCTGGTCAGCTCGGGCAGATCTTTGTATATTTTGCTATACTACACTATAGAACACTATATTTCTTTACATTAAGTTGCAATAAACTAAACTTAAAGGCATCAATCAACAAAGAGTTTTTGGACGAAGCTCTAGGGTTCGGTTTAAGGCTTCAGGGGGAGAGTTTACGGTCTTGAAAAACCCTAAACCCTCCTAACCCCTAAACTCGGGGTTAGAATGTGATGTAGGGGCCTAAATAATTAGATTGGGGTTTTGGGGGTTCCTTATTCTAGCTATGGTATACTATACCCCAAAACCCGAATCCAATTAACTATTGAGGCGCCTATATTAGGTTCTAATGTGCTTTAAGCCGAACCACGACATAAACAGCCGTCCGAACAGGCAGCTCCACTTCGCCCATCCGTCGAACACCACCGTAATCCTTTTCCATCACTGAGAGTGCATCACAATTTTTTGGGGAGAAGCTTGGAGTGAAATGCCGGAGAACTCCGTTCTCCGTTCTCCAAGGCTATGGGAGCCCATCGCCCGGAGCGGATGGAGGGTTAGGCTTTGGGAAAATATAGGGGTCTAAGTCTTTTTTAAATAGGGTTTTGGGGTATGCTATACCATAGATGTTAGTAGGAAGCCTCGGGTTTCAGGGGTTTTCCCTGCTTGAAGGTTGCCTTTCTACAAGACCATCAGCGCCAAGTTGCGATGACTCCCATGTCTTCTTCGTTGTGCAAGAAATCACCACTCTGTTCCAGACGGCTTGAGAGCATGGTAGATTGGGGCTTTAGGAGGTTAGGATCCAGAAAGCTGCATGCACATAGAAGCTTCATGCACATGGACACCGAGATGCTGACCCTGTGCTCAGAACTGCCGCTGCAAACTGCCATGCATGTGAATTGACTGGACCGCTTCGCATGCAGGACTACTCATTGGATAATCATGTAACGTAACCACCATATGTTAG